GACAAGCATCTGGCCATGTGAAAGCATATTGGATGGAAGAGCATTTGCCTGAATACCAATATACAATGGTGACCAATGCAGACGGGGACGATGTGCCCGGCATCCTCTTTGAAGGTACGGCTTATGAGCTGGAGCTGATATCGGCATCCGACGTTGAGACCATTGCCAGCCAGACTCGCGTCGACAAGAAGTTTTCTGATTTTGCAACTCGTGTCAACAAAGTTTGCAGGGGGCATGGATCCTGTGCCAAGGTGCCAATGGACAAAGACCTTTGGATTGACTTGGAGGATTTCGCCAAAGCCTTCCGCAAGGAAGTGCCCCCAGATGTTTTCATCACTGTCGCAAACCTGTTTGGCACCGCAATGAAGATCGACAAGCATGGCAAGAGTAGGTTCCAATTCTTGTGTGCAAAGATCTCCCATTTTCCTGTCGACAATGGCCTAGGCATGCCGTATTATCCTGTGAAAATCCGTGCAATTCAGGGTCACTCCGAAGCTGCCTTGAAAACTGCAGGGGGTCTTTATGCCAATTCAACCATGGTGTATTGCTCAGACCATGTATCCCCCGAGCGAAAAGCCGCCTTCACTGGCGTGCCCCTGTGTGCCATGACTGAGGTTCCTGAGGTTGTCTTCCATCGCACGATGAAAAGCAGCTGGAAGAGCATCGCACAGAACGGCCTGATCCCAGGCGGCGGTGCAACAGTCAACAGTGGCCGTGCCCATATCTACATGGCAGAACACTGTATTGGCACGCAGGGGTATCGATCTGGATTAAGAGCAAAATGTCCAATCGAAGTCAAAATCGCAATGCGGCAAGCAGTTGAAGCTGGTGTCATCTTTAGTCGCACAGAAATGGATGGGATTTTGTGCTCAGAACGCATCCCACCGCAGTTTCTGGTCAGCATCTCAGAAGAAGGACAGGTGCTTTGGTCCCGCGCCGAGAGCAATCTCGAGCCCAGCACATGGACTGGCGCGGCATCAGCCTCAGCACCGAAAGCCAAAGCGGTCACCTTGACTGCCCGAGATGATGCAAATGACGACCCAATGGATGACACCAGCACGGGGCGACCCGATGCCAAGTCCACTGATGATGATGCAGCCACTGCCTCAATGCAAGTTGACCAGCCGCCCGCAAGGACGCGCCGTGTTTACATTGCACCCAAGTACTGCGAACCTTTCATGGGCTCCTGTCCCCTCTGCCAGGTTGAGTACGTCAGTGGCCAAGTGACATGCACCACATGTGGTTTTGAGCCACTCCCAGTGGACGAAAGTGGCGATACAAAAGAGGCCAACAAACCCAACAGGAGGACCCGCATCCTTGAACGGCGAATGCAAAGTCTCGCCGGGTTCGGAATGTTTGGGAAGATGAGCGGAAGCTTGCTGACAGCCTTGACGGAAGAGCAAGCCAACCTGCTACGCCGAGAACTGGGCCCCAGGGGAATCACATCCGTGGAATCAGCAGTCCTCAAAGACTGCCGCGACAGGCATCGACGTGCAAAAGCGCTGGGCTACGAGGACGTGGAAGATAGATACTCCAGCGACGTCACTTTTTGCGACCGCATCCACGGTGAGGGGAAGGACCTGCAGGACTGCATATTTGACGATATGTTCGCATATGGCAACCTCCCCGATCCCCCAAGGACCAAAGCTCAGATCTCGGCTGGCGTCGCCGCCAATGCCCAAAATGAGAACTGCTTATCTAAGTTGATTTTCATGTCTCAGCCTCGTGGCGTTGATGGCTTCCCAGTTGAGTTCCGCAAAACATGGAAGAAGGTCTGGGGTTTCATGTTTGGCCGCCACATTTTTACAGAGGATGAATGTGTCATCTACATCGGCCGTCGTGGCGCATTCCGTGGCCTGTTGACCTGGAAGGGTACTGTCCAAGTCCCTCTCGATGGCACTCGTGATTTCCTCGAAAAGGTGTATGAGGAAAGCCTTCCCTTGGTTCGGAGCAATCTTGAACGCAAAGAGAAGCAGAGCGCCGCTGCAAAGGCTGGAGGTCCTGGAGGTCATAAGGCCGACCCCACGGTCGCGCCCACCATTGAGCGAAAGCGCAAAGCCGAAGCTGATGCATCCGCAACCGCAACAGATGTCACAGCCGCCTCAAGCTCTGCTCGCGCAGATGCCTCGCACGCTGATGCCCCAGCCGCACCATTTCTGGTACCCGAACCACCAACATCCAAAGCAGGAGCACGACCATTCTTGGAGCCTGAGACACCGCCCACTGCAAAAGCAGCAACCGCAGGAGTCACTTCGAAGGCTGCAAGCTCCGGTCGCCCGGATGCCTCTTGGAGTTGGAATCGTGATCACTATGGTGCACGCCGAGAATGGAGTTTCTGGCGTGGGGCTTGGTATTACCGTGACGAGGCCGGCGGCCGTTGGATCTTTTGGAACCGTTAGGGAGACGATGATTTTCTTTTGTAGCATAGCGCAAGATGTGGCATGGTAATGTGCCTTCCTTGCAACGCTGCGCTGGGTTTTACGGGCTTGAGCTTTTTAGAGGGACCTTTGAAAGACTGCACAAAATGTCTAAAACCAACTAAAGAAATTCGGCTACCCGCGAGGGTATGCTTTTCTGGGTTATTCGTTCTCCGCAGTCGTCCCTGCTCGCCCGAGGGGGGTGTAAAAACTCCTGCAGTAAAACCATGTATTGTATATATCATCGATCTGCCCGATAGCGTTGGTTCAAAAGAGCTGAGTGCTTAACGGTGTTAGCTTAGTATTTCACCCCATTGTCGGTTGACCTGGTAAAATACAGTTTGATATATTTGCGAGGTTTCCCTCAAAATTCATCCATGTCTGTAGGATAGTATATCAGCACCACCGATGTTTTTGGCATTGAACAGAGTCAGGGGAAGGGGTTTGGACATGTCTGGACTGTTTGTCCTCTGTGGAGAGTCTGGGACTGATCCTGGGACTGGACTCACGACTCTATTTATCGATGATTTCCACTCCCTTTTGAACATAGAATCACCTTCTCACCAGACGACGATTGTTCAATCATCTGGCAGATGATCTATGTGATTTGTATTTATATCTGTTTTCTCGTTGGAATGTGCTCATTCTTCAACACCAAAACACTTCCTAAGTCAGCAACCTTGCTAGGTTTGGCTTGGTTATCTTGCAGCATTGCAGACCATCAAAGACCATCATCTGATGTTTCATGTCGACAGATACCAGGAGACCTTGCTGCCGCAGATAGCGGCTGCTCTGCCAGCCCTGGTGCAATTGCTGAGCCTTGGATTTCGATGGATTTTCCTGGATCTGATGGATCTATAATTCGTATGTATAAGCCGAGCCAATTTAATAGGTTTCAACCAACAAAATGGGATTCAACCAGTAAACATCGATAAACAGTGGATATTTGGGTTTGTCCAACAATTGTGGGGGACGCGAACATTGGATGAACTGCGAATGTTCAGGAAATTCATCCCGATGGCCGAAACAATCTTAATTAATGTCTTTTTGTTCGAACACGTACAATACCATTCATGGATAGTGTCAGAGCGGGGCAGACGTTTTAATACGTTTTGATTGTCCAGGTAAGCGAGTCCGATTTTGTACCCTTTCAAAATTGCTACTCAAAGGGCATTGTGTGGGAGAAACCAGTTCCACGTAGATAGAGGAGCATCCACTAACTAGAGGATAATCACAGATTTACCAATAATTTACAGAGATCATCATATGATGATCATCGGTTTTTTTAGATCCTGAAAAAGACTCACAGGTCCATGAAATTTTGTCACTGTCAAGTATCAATTATGTACACCAGTGACAGTGACAATATTTGATGGATATTTGATGGATATTTGATGGATATTTGATGGATATTGATGGATATTGATGGATATTGATGGATATTGATGGATATTTGATGGATATTGATGGATATTTGATGGATATTGATGGATATTGATGGATATTATACAGATCTTATACTTTGTCATTTCCCTAGAGATTTTTGTCCACCAACATCCACCAACTTCAGGAGCTCCTTCTCCGAGTGTCTGGCGCCGCGCTGCGTGAAGCTCCACGGCAGCTTCGGGACATCTCAGCTGCTCTGCTGCCGGGCTCCTCAATTTGCCAGCTGGAAGGTGGCTCCAATGGCTTTCGGATTGGATGATTTTCATGAAATCCTATGATTTTCATTGATTTTCTGATTTTGAGATAGTATCACAATAGATAGTATCATATATATATAATTATATATATATATATTTCATTGATTTCTCAGTATCTTTCGATGTTCATGTGATACTGAGAGTGCAACTTTGAAGATCGATGATCGATCGTGGCCCAAATCTCAACATGGAGACCAGCGGATTCAGGACTTCCACCAATGTGTGGATGACCCAAGATAATGTTGGTTATTAAATTATGAGCCAAAACAGGTGACAAACTGATGATATTAGTTCATGTGATATGAACTTGTGCACATACATATGTATATAATATATATGTATATGTATATATATATATATATGTATATAATTATACATATGTATGTGCAGTCATATCAATGCTGGATAGGCTGACTCTTAAAATTGCCACCAACAATACGGTGATACGAGCCTCATCCAAGGCTTCGTCTATGGCCCCGACACCTCAGAGCTGCCAGGCTCGGGGGGTAGTGGAGATGGCTATGCAGAACTAAATGGTGGGTGAATGAGTGGTGAACCTAGTTTAAACATGTTTCAACCTGAAAATCCCAAGAGTTTACTAAGCTTAGTATTTGTTTCCTTCATGATTCATCAATGATTTAGTTCGTTTGTTGTTTTCATGGTTGATCCTTGATTCTTGTTTTCTTATGTTTTCTTCATTTTTTGCGAGTGAGAATCCAGGAAGTTGATTCTGCGAAGCTGATTGGTGTTTTCACTTGATGCTGTTTCGTATGTTTGGGAAGATAATAGTCCGACCTAGTCATTAATCCTATAGTTACTATAGGTCCTAGTTAGTCTAATAGTTAGCCCAGGACTCACAGACATCTGAACTCACTGAACCATGGCTTCAAGTGTGGTTCCCCAACCTCTGGTAGCAGAACTGTCATGGAAAACGCCCCCAGGTGATGAGGTGTTGCAGCAACTCCACGCAGGCAGGGACGACAAATTGGTTGCATATAGATCTGCTGTTTTGGTTGGTTGCATCTTGTTTGGGATGGGTTCCTTTTGAAATTGATACAGCTATACGGCTACACACACACACATGTGTATATATATATATACATACATACACATATATATATATATTATACATATATATGTATATACTGTATTCATACATATATATATATATACATATATATATATATATATATACACATAATGTACATATACCAGGTGAATCTACCAGGGTCAGTTGATTTCAGCCTCTCCAACGGTGCCCGGCTCGCGGCCCAGGCCTTTTGTCAAAGCTGCCCGACCTGCAGTCGCTGGTGATCTTGGTCTCCGCCAAGGGCAAGCAGCGAAGCTATCCTGCAGGCAGGAAAAGACCCCAGATTTCTCGCATATTTTTGGATGAAGCCATTTTGAATGTTTGTCCATACTCTTACACCCGTTTTATCATTTTGGACCAGATTACAACTAACACATTTCACGTTTGCAAGCGGTTTCTCAAGCGACCATCCCAAGTGTGATTGGGAAGTATCAGGAAGTTCCACAATCTGACCGAGTCACCTTCTCATAAACTTCTATAAATAGATTTGCAGATAGCTGCTTGGTGGTTCCAGATTTCTGTTTCCCCATGGCAATTTGCGACTCCACCGAGGATGTCCTGCTGCCCTGTGCAGGTCAGGACTTTGTCGATGAAGTGCTGCAGATGAAGGGTCGCAGCGTCAAATATCGACAGCCATTCGGCCACTTGGTGCTAATTTAGGGCTGGTTGGGGTTGGATGGTTTGAGGGAAACCTGAGTTTAACTGGCATATCCGAAGTATCAAGAAGGGTTGGTGCGAGAAACAACACCCGTTGAAATGCTTTTTGAACCAAAAGATAGCAAAAGAAATGGTGATGAAACCAATAGCGATGAGGAAAACTTGTCAAGATGTAGGTACTGGTAGTTATAACCCAGTCATGCGACTCCTGGCTGACCACAATTTTGGAGTGTGATATTTATTTTGAGGCGGAGAGTATGGACTCTGAAACTCCTTTTGGGACATACTATGTCACAGGAATGGTGGCGTGACAAGGAGGAAACTTCTGGTGTTTGAGACTTGATCTCTGTTTCTCCTCCCTAAACGAATTGGGTACCCCCCAACAAATTGCATCACCAGGGGTTGAAAATCTCAACATCTCTGGGAGTCCAATTCATTTTCGCCGAGGACAATTCTCCAATCCCAACCCACACATTGCCTGGATCTCAGTGCTTTGACTACCTGGATCCGCATCCCACGAATCGTGTATATAGATGGCTAAAGACCGACATATTATATACAGTATATCTAAAACTGGCTGATTACATACATCAGACATCTATCATCACACAGAGAATCATGTTATCATCCCAGTTTGATATTTGTAAGCTATCATCAGTTACCCTCTGGTAATTTAACATAGCTATGGAAAACCACCATGTTTCATGGGAAAACTCACCATAAATGGCCATTTTCAATAGCAAACTGTTGACATAACCAGAGGGTATCCCCATATCATCATGATACGAGTTCCTTCAGGGCATCCGCTGAGGCCGTGGCCACGGCCGAGTGGTTGGGGGACGTGCTGCAGCATTTTGCCGAGCCGACGGTGCGGGGTTTCCCGGGGTTTCCCCGGTGTTGTGTGTACCATGCTATATATGATATTATATATAATTATAACATTATATATAATATAATATATATAATATAATATGTGTATAATGTTTATATAATGTTGATCAAATATCCCATCATATCATACCCGAGTGACCAACTACTCTCACCCTAACTTCAGTTTGGATTCCCCAACTTTCAGGCGATCAGTGCTCCATGTTAACATATCTTAACATACTTCATTTTGACCAGTTCATACCAGTTCTAAGTGACCCATTTTTATACTCAAAATTTGTAGAAACAACCAGCCCAAATGATATTTAAATCATATGAACTCATAATATTCAATCACATTAAATCATTGTTAAATCACCTATTTGTTGATGCTGAACCCATGTTGACCCCTTCATTTTTGTTGGTTAAGTCCTCCAAATGTTTGCAGGTTCACCTCGCGCCTGGTAGGACCTCCTGGAGCTCTACTGTGGTTGTGGAAGTCACACCGTGGCGTTGGCACCGTTCTTCCGCCAGGCCGACCTCACTGGTGATGTTAGGGGCTTCCGAAGGGATGCGTTTCATTGATTTTCTTACCCATAGGATCCATGTATGGTATATATACTAACATTGGGGGTATATTGATGGTAAATGTTCCCATATATGGCCTCGAAAGGCCCCAGAAAATGACTGAGACAACCGTCAAACGATCGTCCGCCTTTATGGGTCGTCGCAGCTATTGTGAAAAGATGGCCAAGTCTTCAACCCTTCAAGGTGTTGGCAGTGGAGATCAACCGGCATTTGGTGGATGCTGCACAGTAGCCTGGTGACACGGAAAGCGGCTGAGTGTCACATGGGCCTATCATGGTCACATCCCATCCTTCTGGTGGACGACAAGCCCCTGGCATTGGCTCTACCCATGTCACTCCTTGGGTATCCTCTAGTTTTGGATTTGGTTTCGTCATTTGGTTTCCTCAGAGTTCATCATGGAGGGAGGCAAATTCAATTGTCACTCATTGCGATGAATCTGAAACTGGCCTAGCCTACCGTGCAAAATTTGTAAGCCCCATGAACAGCATTGATAGAGGTGAGATTGAATGAATTTGTCTTTCTGAACGAGCCACTTTTCATACCAACTTTGCCTCCAATGCTATGCCAACTGTATACTTGGTGTCATGCAGCATTCTTAGTTGGCTTGGTCACTATGCTCTTCCCTGGTAGCTATAGGGGGGATTGGCAAAATTAGGTTGTCAGATACTAGACGGTTTAGCAATATTACATATATATATATACATATATAAGAATGCATGATTAGTAGTAGTATGCAAAAACCAGCAACAGCCACCGCCATTTTTGGCTTCCATGGGTATCTCACAAAACGACTTGCTGGTACCCTCCGCACGAGCTACTGTAGTTTTTTTTTGGTTTAATGGAACAGAATACCGTCCATTTGTATTTCATTTTCGAACATTTTTGACCCATCTCTGTATTTTATTGTATTTTGACGTATTTTGAACTTTATTTATCACTATAATACCACCATAGTAACCCCCAATTTGGATCCAATAAAATTGTGACCCCCACTCTGTGGGGTCACTTCGTTGGTCCCCAAGGCACAACGTGGCGCTCAACGGCTTGAGCAACGTCACGGTGCTGAGGGCTCCCTCAGAGGATGGAGCCACCAAAAAGTTGACCTGTTCATGACTAGATGTCTGGATGAATATGATGAACACTATACAACCGATTCCAAGCATCGTTATATATATATATATATTAATATGTATATACATAATATAATATACATGTATTAGTGTTATGTATATATATATATATACATACATATATATATATACATATATATATATATTATATATGTACATATGATAAATATGGTACGATACGATACGAAGTTCAAGCTTCTCGTCCCAAATGGATCCATGGATTTTAGATGCCAGGACTTCTGCCGCCGCGTGCTGCGCACGCGCGGCTACGAGCTGCGCGGCGCGGCGGCCAAGGCCGTGGGCGCGGAGGAGACGTTGGCGTTGAGCTTCCGATGCACGGCGACTGGGACCAAACGACATCTGCAACCGAAAACCTGGGGATTTCACCATCCAACACTGCGGGTTTCACCGTGATTTACAGATATTGAGCGAACAGCGTTTATGAATATGTGTGGATTTTACCAGTTTGCACATGCGGTCTCTACTTGTACCAACCATGATTAAACATGTGGATGTTAAAGAAACAAATATGGTGATCTATCATGAGTTGCATACCATTCACTGCCAAGAATGTGGATGCGAAGAAGGAAAATCGCCAACTGTACCCACCAGAAATCGGGACTTAACTACAAAAACATCCCCGCCAGAACTTTGGTTTCAAAGTGATGAATCAACGAGATTTTTTTCTCACAATTGATCTTCTTTGGGTACAGCAGTTGGGAAATATAACTTGTTGAACCCATTGCCCCCTGGCAATGGTTCTACATTAGGCATGGCTGCAACCCATAGAGTTTGGTCGTTTGTGATTATAGACATCCAAGCTCCACGGTGGATGTTCAACCCTTTGTGTCTCCTTGAGTTGAAAAACTCTGGAGTGCTAAAGGGGTATGAGTCACATACGCGCTGCCTCAAATTATGTACATATATATATATATATATATACCATCTGGTTGTTTAACATAGCCATGGAAAATCACCATTTTTAATAGGTAAACCATCTATAAATGGGCCATTTCCCATGGCTATGTTAAATAACCAGAGGGTATACATATATTATACATATATATAAATACATGATTCACCCAACACAAAAAATATAGCAGGTTTCTTGGGTATTGTTCACCGCTTACGTATGTTTTTTTCCGTCAAGAGCCAGACAGGTGGTGGACCCTCCACGAGCTGGCTTGGATCCTGTGACGCTGGAAGCCGTTTCAGGACGGTCGGCCGACCCGTGAGAAACATGGATTTGCTATTATTTATGAAACTAAAACAACGTCTGAACTGCATTTCATAAAACATAAATTGAACCATATTCTTATGGAAAACTCCGGGACCCCCTTTTTGTAAACATACATCTGCACTTTAGTATTTCAGATGGAGGGTTCTCTGTGTTGAAGATCGCTTAGACTATGACTATTAGACCAGCACATCCATTTTCTAAAAGGAAATGGTTGTGACCCAAGGCAATTTGTGAAACTTATTTCATGTTGGTGTGCGAGGACTATCAGACAATGAACGAATCGCTCCCCCAGTGAAGTTGTCCCCTTGTCCCAGGATCTTGTTTCTAACACGTGTCAACTTATGGACTGATTGCAGGATATGAACATCTTCTCTACGTTTCTTGCAATCCCTTGGCATTGAAGTCCAACCTGGAGGTGCCGCGTGGAACTGCTTCACTGTTGGGATGGTTTCCACTCCCAAGATGGCATGGGAGTATGTCATTTTTTTTGAGTTCAAGTTCTAAAATCAACCGAAGTTCAATACTAATACCGATACCTGTATTTTGATTAGGGTCCCCTCCCTTTGCTGGTGAAGTTGGTTTGGTATTTTCCCTTCATGTCCTCCTTTTCCATCCCACCATCCCACCATTCCATGCCAGGTGCTCTTGAAGAGCCACGAGTTGTGTCGCATGGTGCTGTTGGATCACTTCCCTTGCAGCGCCCATGTGGAGATGGCCGTGCACCTCAAAAAAAAGTCGTAAAAAGACGGAGATCCTGAGATTCTTGGCCTTGGCTGGACCTGATAGGGCTGAGAATGTCATCCATGGTCCATCGCAAAGGGGCCGCAGACGAAGATGTGCAGCTGGTGTGGGTCCCAGTTGTGTCTTGGCAGAAAAATGAGCAATTTTTGTTGGGTCGATCTCAAACTTTGACTCTGCTAGATTTTGAGAGAGGAGCGGATTTGCAGGGTTCTCATTTTCCGTAAAGACCCGATCAATTCGTACCCCACACTTGAAGGGCCCCTACCATTCAGAAGTGGATAGAGATCGGGTGTTGAGTTGGGTGTTGAAATTAAAATCAACTCCTACATACCAACAGAACGGAGAACCCACCATTTAAAACAATCTTAACCTGTTAAACTGAGACAGTTACAATCAACATCAAATAGCATCAAACAACATCAAATAAGATCAAATACTGTAAGGAAGTCTATCTACCCCATTTCTGCATATTTCTGCAGGGGCCCATCATTGTATCCATTTCTCTCCTTGGCAACCTCAGGCCGAAATCTGCTTCGATGCTTCGATCAGTGGACGATTGTGCGACTTGCTGAACGGTGTTCTCAACGCAGCCGTGGCGTGATCCAGGTTGCAATTCGTGGAGAAACAGGTGGCATGTACAGATGCCACAACTTTTGACTTATGCAAAGATGCAACAAAGATCTCGACATATCTCGACGTTTGCCCGTCAAAGTGACCAAGATGACAGGCTTTTAGGATGTCCACTGGGTGCCTCTCCAAAGCTACCAACAGGTGATGCAGCCACTATGACGACCATGGCACTGGTTCCGGCACAAGTGGCTCTCAGGTGCCACGCGATGCGGTGAAGATCACGGGCGCGGCAAGTTGGACGCAGACACAGCGTATGGCAGGTATGGCCAGGTTGGCCACCTAGAGAATCTAGAGACATGAACTGGCGCAAACTGGCGCTATGGACCTGGCATGTGGCTTTCTGGGTCATGGCAGTCATGGCCACTTCGTCTAGAGGTGCGCCAGCACTATGTGGCACAAGGTGAGCACCATGTGGCTTACCTTTCACACTACGCATGCTGATGCCGGCGGCTTGGGATAGCTGGGCCTAAAAGTCTATCGGCCATTTGCAGTGTTTGAATGTGTGACTGGAGCGGTGCCAAAGATGTGCTGGCTCTGATTTGGATGGTGCAGCCAATGGGTTCAAAAGTGAGCGGATGGAAAGGCTTCAGTGCCTCCTAGTCTTTGAGCAATTGGCTCGAAAGTTGTGTAACTCATGAAAGTACTGTACATTCAGGGTCATTTGCGCAATGAAAGTCGAACACTGTTTCTTGACTATTGTCAGTGAGATAGCGCTACTAGGGTGGATGAACAATGACCCTTGACATCCTTCATAACTTTCATTTGGGTGTGGCATGAAGTCCTGCTTTTGACAGGGCGGAAGAGAGAAGAGGCCAGAGGACTATGGCGCAGCTTGGCCAAAGTGGTGTTTCTCGTGCAGATGGGTGTGGGTCAGAATGGGAGGCCTTACAAAGGCCAACGGCTAAAGGGCTAAAGGCATGATTTGCTCTGCATCACCAGGATTCCACATGGATGGCCATGGCTGATCATGGCACATAGAGCAACTTGCAGCAGATGTTTGGTGCCGGCCAGCCTCCGGAATATCATCCAGTCAATGTGAGTGATGGTAAACCTGGTAAATGAGGGGCACCAAGGAAGATCAGTTCAAATTGGCACCCCTTTTGTGCACCCTGCCACAAACAATCGAAAGCAGCTTCGACTTCATCTAATCCAGCATAAGATCAAAACATCCCTCCTACCTTAATGAAATTATTTCAGGGGGGGGTTACCCTCCAAAATATTTTTTTGAAAATAATTTCAAAAATCTAACATGTTGGATGTATAGATTTATAGACTCTAACCATTGCCAAAATAATTTCTGGTTGGAAATTATTTTGATGGGTTACCCCCCCCTCAAAATAATTTTGACGAAAACACTCTCACAGCAAAAAAAATATTTCAAAATAATTTTGTTGTTTGACCTTGTTTTGATCCGATGACATATTCCACCTTTGGTCGTACACTCAAGTTTCTGCAGGCTGTGTTCACACAGCACTTCTTCGCAGTGATGGCAGTGTTGTAACTTTCGGAGGAAACGATGTAGAACAATGCGATATCCCATCTTGCGCAATGTTGGGCTTGCAAAAGTGGCTTATTATGTTTTAGGTTTTTTGTTTTTTTAGGATTGATGCGTTGCGAATCCTACAACGCAAATAAATTCAACATCATGTTTCATGTGTGCTCCCTGGTAGTCATGTCAGAATCCCCCCTCAATCTTAAGTTGCAGCAAGAACGCATCAAAACTTGCAACTCGAAACCAAACTCGTTCTTTAAGAAATTATTCAAAGGATCTTGGAGATGCCCTGCGTTCCTCAAAAATCAATGTGGGAAGCTGCCAGAACCATCCAACTCGCCCATATACTGGAAACAAATGAAAAACCTATCAAAACCGAACGCTTCCCAAAAAAGAGTTCGTTGGAGGGAAATGAAGGGAATATTGGAGAAAAATGGGAAATATGACAGGTTAGGAAAATCACTACAGGAAAGGGCCAGGTTGAATACTATTTTGTGGTATTTCCCACGGGGAAAAATTATTCTAGGGGTATTGGAGATACCCTGCACTCCTCAAAAACCAAAGTGAGCAGCTGCCAGAACCATCCAACTCGCCCAGAAACTGGAAAAAAAATGAAAAACCTATCAAAACCGAACGCTTCCCAAAAAAAAGTTCTTTGGAGGGAAATGAAGGAAATATGGGAGAAAGAGGGAAAAACATGAAAGGCTAGAAAAACCACTATAGCAAAGAGCTAAGTTGAATACCATTTTGTGCGATTTCCCAAGAGGAGAAATTATTCTAGGGGTATTGGAGATGCCTTGCACTTCCCAAAATTCAAAGTGAGCAGCTGCCAGAACCATCCCACTCGCCCATAAACTGGAAACAATTGAACAATCTATAAAATCCGAACGCTTCCCAAAAAAGAGTTCTTTGGAGGGAAATGAAGGGAATATGGGAGAAATAAGAGGAAATATGACAGGTTAGGAAAATCACTACAGGAAAGGAATACTATTTTGTGGGATTTCCCAAGCGGAGAAATTATTTTAGGGGTATTGGAGATACCCTGCACTCCTCAAAAATCAAAGTGAGCAGCTGCCAGAACCATCAAACTCGTCCATATACTGGAAACAAATGAAAAACCTATCAAAACCGAACGCTTCCCAAAAATGAGTTCCTTGGAGGGAAATGAAGGGAATATGGGAGAAATAATGGGAAATATGACAGGTTAGGAAAATCACTACAGGAAAGGGCCAGGTTGAATACTATTCTGTGGGATTTCCCAAGAGAAGAAATTATTCTAGGGGTAGTGGAGATATCCTGCCCTTCCCAAAAATCAAAGTGAACAGCTGCCAGAACCATCCAACTCGCCCAGAAACTGGAAAAAAAATGAAAAACCTATCAAAACCGAACGCTTCCCAAAAATGAGTTCTTTGGAGGGAAATGAAGGGAATATGGGAGAAATAATGGGAAATATGACCGGTTAGGAAAATCACTACAGTGTCACTACAGGAAAGGGCCAGGTTGAATACCATTCCGTGGGATTTCCCAAGGGAAGAAATTATTCTAGGGGTATTGGAGATACTCTGCACTCCTCAAAAATCAAAGTGAGCAGCTGCCAGCTGAAAAAAAAAATAAACACCGAATGCTTTCCCTTTCACAGTCATTCCCACCGAGTGTTCTTTGGAAGGAAATGAAGGGAATGTGAGAGAAATGTGGGGAAGTATGAAAAAAAATGGAAATATGTAGGAAAGAACCCAGTGATGAAGATGATGGTTGAACATTTTTTTTGCGGGAATCCCCAAGTGTTTTTTTTAAATCTTTTTTTGTTCAACCATTTAAAATTTAGATGAAGTTATGTCAAAACATAGTTATTCCAGGGTATATTTGAAGGCTTAGATTATAATTCGCATATTCCAATATGCACATCCGTAGGCCCACTGCTTAGGAAAATTATTCAACAACATGTTTTCTTTAAACATATTCCAAAACCTGGTTGATACCCCCGCGTTTTTCTTGAAGGGATGGAATATCCCCGGTACACCTGCGAAGGCGATCATGTCGGGTAGGGGGGGGGTCCCAAAGTATACATATGTAAAGATTGGAGTCTCCGGAGGGGGGCAAAATAATTAACTCCCCAGGGGTTGAAATAATTTTTACGAAGGTTCACCACCGTCGATGAAGGGGAGGGGGGGGTCTATCGTAAGAAATTATTTTACCCTAAAGAGGGTTGTTTCGTATAACAACCGAAGACACTATCAACCCCCTGAAAATAATTTTGGAAATTATTTTGAGGAGGGGGGAGGGGGGGGGTAGTTTAGGTAGGGTAGATATCAAAACCACAGAAATGGATACAGAGCCACGATCAATATATGATCGTTACTTTCAATTTCCGTGGTGCCGTTTTCACCCATGAGTCTCCGGCTCCCAAGACATAGACCTGGTGGGTATCGGAGGGTTGCCATCCAGCAGGTAGATACCCTCAAAATCACGGACGACGATGCCGCCTTTATCCTGGGAAAGGGTGGCAAGACCAAAGAGAAGTGACTCGGCTTTGGAGTGCGGCATGCCAGAGGCAGTTCACAATTTGTTGGACCATATTGGAGCCCCAAGGATAAACATAGAACCATGTGTAGTCTTGAGAAACCAATTTTGCAGATCATCAAAGTGGACCCAACTTTTTTTCATTTGATGAATCTAATGTATGTCTTCGAGCTTTCTTTTGCCCATGGCCCTGTGGCCTTTGCTCTCCGTGACGTTGGACGAGACTCTCCAGAGGATCCAGCCATTTCTTGTCCCAAATCTGCTACTAAGATAATTACGGGCATTGCTTTGCAATATGGGTATGGATCAATACCTATTAATACCATTTTTAGGGGGATGAACATCCATTTACCAGCTATTTTGGGGTTCATTAGGTACCAGGGTTTTGACTCATAGCCATATCATTCTGCCATGAAACCAGCCAGGGGGATAGCAGGGGGTGTATAAATCCCAGGTTGCCGAAAAAGCCTTTTCCGAGGATCGCACGCGTCTCGGGCGCCGAGATCGAACTCTTTGAGAGGGACCTGATTTTGGCGCCTTGGCGATGATGGACAACGTGGACGGTGACGCGTTGCCAGTGACATTGCCGTTGACACATTGATAACAAACATATACAAACATATTTGACAGCCCAAAGCCGGAGGGGCAGGCTTTGCATCATCATGTTCTGTCTAGCGATTTTTTTCTGGATTTTATTGGATGGGATAATTTTTTCCAGGGATCAGAATGGTGATCATATTGATCATTGAGATTGGTGAATGTCTAGCCATGTCATGTTGGTGAAATGTTGGGAAGTTGGTTTATAATCCCATTAATCATTAACATCCATTAACTATATATATAGACAGTGTTGGGACATTTGGGACCCTTTTTTGGGTGCGACCCCCAACCCCAACAGATCAGCCGCAGAGCCTCAGGAGATCCGCGGTTCGAAGGTTCAACGCCGGCGAGCCAAGAAATATTGACGCTTGGCAGCGGTATAGTGATGTCGAAAAGTTACGTGAAAAATTGATGTAATAACATGTAATAACTTTAGTAATACATCAATATATAACTTTAGTGATATCGTAATAATTCACAAAAGTTATTACGAGACATCTCAGTGAGAATCCCATGAAAACATCTGAAAACCAGCACGTTGGTGGCTTAGGGCCGCACTTAACAGACATCTGAGGTGAAGGCGTCATGGCACAACGCACTGGCCCGGTCAACATCACCGAGGAGTAGCTGAGCGCAAGAGGGTCGTCAATTCGGGTGTTCTATAGATATTCTATATATATATTATATAGATATTCTATATAGATATTCTATAATATAGATATTCTATATAGATATTCTATAGATATTCGATAGATATTTATTTTATATAATCAATATACAGCTGATGTTGGTATATTTTTTCATAGAACTGTTGCCAACAATGACAGGCCCAATGGTGAGGGGTTGGGTCCATTCTTTTTAAATCTGCTAATATGAATCATATGTATTAATATGTATTAATATGTAATATATATATATATATCATATCTATACAATTCTATACATTTACATATCCATTCAAACCAAGATATCCCTGCCACAGGTTGGCGCTTCCCATCCCCAAGGTACAACGATGATGACCTGACGATGCTCATGGTACCGCAAGAGACGGCTGCTCGACATCCGTCAAGGGCTGCTAGAGATGCTTCGCTGGTATGGCACTGAAGCTGGTTGGTGGTTCCGAAACCATAAGATGTTTATAGAATTTTATAGATGTTTCAGTTTTAATCAGTTTTATATGCGTAATTTTATATATTTATATAATTAGCTTTATTGTTTGTATTTCCCAGTTGAATGATTGGGATGAAACCACCATGCGGAAGAGTGTTTTGGCCGGCTTCGACGGAAAACCACGGACCAATTTTCAGGGGTTGGCAGGTTCCCCACAATGATGGAGTAACCCAAAAGTATAGAATTCTGAGCAGGAACATATCAGAATATTCTTTACTGACACATCGAAGAATCGAAGGATCAGGATCATATTCCAGGATGATTCGATGTTTCCACAGCAACCGATGATTCGTTCCAGGTCGGCTTCGTCACGGGAAGGGCTGGCAATTTCCTTCGAACCATCGAAGAAGAGCTGCTTGGTGTTGAAGCTATCGCCTAGTCAATGACCATCATAGGGTCAGTTTGGAGATGTCTGGACCATGTTGGGCACATATCACTTGCCCACTAGAAATTCACGGCTACATATGGGGTTGTGAGAAAATAGGGCTCCTGAAATCCCATGGTTTGTCATAATTTTCTCATATTTTCTCCGTGTAAAGTGGCCATTTTGGTGATTCCCAATTTCTGGACACACCCGTATGTCATACAGACATGGTTGGTCATATATCCTGGTATATATATATATATGTAATAAACATTTTTGTTGTTTCGATTTATTTCTCAGTTAACCCCCTCGATACCATTGGCCTTCCGTCCTCACTTCCAGGTGGGGTACTCTGATGTTCTTCTGTGAAGTGGGTTCTGGACGGCGCGACAAGGACCGACCTGGTCAGATTGAACGTGCTTTGGAGCCTGCAGTGGATGTCCTTTTTTTGGAGGTTGCGGGTAGATGAGCTAAAGATTCAGTTTACGTAGATGAAGATGATGAAGATGATGAGAATGATGAAGATGATGAAGATGAAGATGAAGATGAAGAAGATGATGATGATGATGGTGGTGGTGGTGATGATGATGTAGATTATGGAGATTATGATGATGATACATGATGACTTTTACGACGATGATTTTGATGTAGGGATGGTGAATCACCAACTCAAACCATTGGTCACAGCAAAAAGGCATTTCTTCTTCCATTCAAATACAATTTGTTCTATTTTCCATTTCATAAGATGTTGCCAGTTTTCATAGATTTTGAACATTTCTCTACTGTGCTTTTTTCCTTTTCCTGTTTTTGCCCTTCATTCCATTCATGTTCAATTTTTCCTCCTCTTGTTTGCATTTGGCTTCATCAATGTTTCCCCCTTTTTTCTATCTTCAGTTTCATCGCTTTTCAATCATATTAATACATGTTCATATATTTTTCCTCAATTTTCCCAAGCTTTCCACCATTTTTCCCGAGTTTTTCCATGTTTTTCCCTCATCCCCAGCCCTGGCATCCCACCAGCCCCGGCCCCCCCCGGCCGTGGCCGTTGTGGCCAGGACTTCGAGAAGCTGGCGATCTTCGGCGACATCCGCGGGCGCCGTGGCGCAGAGCTGAAGGTGCTGAGCGCCATCGAGACCAAGAGCCCAGGTGGGACCTTGTTTCAGATGTTTTTGTTTAATGGTTAATGATCCAAGAGGGTACACTATCCAGAGGGTAATCATAATATATGGGTGTGTCTGAAAATAGTGTACCCCTTTTTACCCAATGGTTTTGCTGATCAGAATCCCTATTAAATGGCTATAATTGAGAATATCCCCTCTGGTAATTTAACATAGCGAACTGGAAAGATCCACCATTTTTAATGGGAAACCATGACAGTCACCATGGAGAAACCTATTTAGCTATGGATCAATACCTATGAAAATACAATTTTTAATGGGATGAACATCCATTTTAACCCAGCTATTTTGATGTGAACTACAGGGGTACCAGGGTTTTGACACACTGCCATTTAGGCATTTGGGGAACCGCTCCAGGTTACCTGGGGAAGATCAAGAACGAAGTGATCGACCGCGACAAGGGAAAGGATCCTGAAGGTTGGATTATTGGGACAGCGGTTGGGTCACTACTTTACCCTCTGGTAAACTAACACAACTATGGAACATCACCATTTTTAATGGAAAATCCACTATAAATCACCATTTTCAATAGCTATGTTAAATTACCAGAGGGTAGATAGGTCCAAACTGTTGGGACCTCCTTTTGTCATCCGCTATGTGTCCACTGGCTTCAAATACATCGAAGATTTCCCATGCCGACAATGGATCAACTCCTATAACTCTACGGTTTCCAAACGAACGATGCATAGCTGACCCCACTGTGGTAACAACGAACGAACCATCCCTTCAATGAGAGAGTTTCTCTCCCAGGCACCTGGTCCACTGACACCATGACCTTCCAGGCTGGGTTGAGGATGGTGACCCACTGGTGATGAAACCAGGATGGTGGCTATATGTTTTTTTCCGATTTTGATGGGCAATGATGGGTAAATTATCTAGTTTCATGGTGGGGTTTGTTTCCTGAAGGGTAGCTGTCAGCAAATGGTTAGGAAGTGCTATTGGAGACTCAGCCAATCCGCTGCGTGATGTACTGAGATGGCCCGATTTCCTTTTGTGCTTTCAAAATAGTTCAGTGGCCATGGATCTTCTTGAGGGGTCACTGATCCATCCGTTATGGTGACATCCAGGACATCCACAACACTGTTGCTTGACGATAATCCCAATTTCACGCGGTTCCGCCTAGAGTTTCACCGCTTGGATTTGCCTAAAAATGGTGGACACCCCCAAGATTGAACATGACAGCAGAAGAAACATGAGATATACCGGTATACCCACCCATTTTCAGGCCATATTTCTTGGATGTTTGGGGCTCAACCGTTCCGTTCCATATCTACCGTATCCACCGCTGTTCCAGGACGATGAGCTCTCGTACGCCTTGGGCAAGCAGGGTGGCACCCGCAAGAAGCTGGAGCGGGCATCAGGTGAGAGCTTTGGGAAGGATATTGATGTGCCATGATGTGCCTAAGATGTCTCAGATTTGTGATATTTTAAGATATAATTATAGTTTTTTTTTTAATGATATATATATATACATATATATATATATAGACTAATATATAGACTATATATAGACTATACATAGACTATATATAGACTATATATAAATTGGGAGATTGGTTTTTGGAAGTATATTATGGTTTGAGAGTCTTGTTACGACATTTTCTGCTTGGCTGATACTGTGTGGCAGTTGAAGAAGTTGAGGGGTCTGCCACGTCGATCCCTCCTCAGTTTGAAGTGCAATGGCTCTTCATCAAATGAAGTACAAATCCCCTACCATCCATGTACGGGATGTATTGCTACATGCATGTGCCGTCATTAGAGTCATGTTCACACAAAAAAAACCATCAAATGCAAATATACCATCTTTGGAAGGGCAACAGATGGTGATGGATTGCTGATTCATGGCTTTGAAGGGTTCCCGATGTTCCATCTGTACTTGGAACGATACAGTAATCCTCCATTGAGATCTATTGAGCGATATGTTTCACAGGGTTGAGACCACCAGCCGGATTGAAGACTGGCTGCTGTTCGAATTTGTACAGGCTGCATCGTGCAGATCCTTGGTTTGCACTTCAGGCAGCTGTAGGATGAGTAGCGCAGGGAAACTAGATGGCAATCAACTGTTGTTTTGGGCTATAGGTCATAGAAAATTAACCGTCCGCAACTGGTTGTAACTGACTGATATAGCAATAGTAACCCATGGCTGCCATGGCTTTGTTATAGGTTAGAAACGACTATTCTGATCAACCTGCTCAACAATTGCTGTGCATTTGCTTGTAGTAGCCAACTTAGTGAAACCGTTGGCGGCCACCAAGTACTTTGTGGTCTCAATACTGGCAACCAAGCAGCCAAGCAACCAAGCAACCAAGCAACCTAGATGAGAACCCATGATACGACCCCCCACAACAGATCCTTAACCAAGCCATGTCCGGTGTCTCCATCTACCAAGGTACGTGGGCCACACCTGTTTGTTCTCAGGGACCCGGGCGGAACGCCGCCGTGCAAAGGACTACATGAAGTGGCGGAGCCCGGTGAGTGGCGGCAGGATGGGGACTGGGATGAAGACTGGAACCAGTAATAGCAACCTCCAAAAAAATTGAAGAGTAACATTAGAAACTAAAATCTTACAAAAACAGTGGTATATAACTCATATATATATATATACACACACGTATATACACTTTCTATCACTGTTGACTGATGGTTTGCAGCCGGGCTGCAACCCCTCATACCTGGAATAAAATACTGGGATACGAGCACCAACCACTTGTCAAGTTCAGGAATCCCGGTAATTTGACCTAATCAAGCATGGCAAAATTTTAATTCCCCCATCTTTAGTTGATTTTCCCACTAAAACCCTCATTTTCATCTACAATTAGATGTATTTTCCACTTGCCACGTTTGATTGGCCACATAGGAACCATCTGGTTCCCCGGGCCCCAGCTTAGCCCAGGTGGCTCTTCGCCCAATTAGAAGGTCCCGTTTATGTGGACGGCTGGGAGGACCGTGACGACTGCTGCCCCTTGGCGAGCGGATGTTGAATGTCAACAAGAAAGGGGATGCTACGATTTCAGATTATTTAATTACGTATTATACAATTGATACTACAACTGTTGATTGTATGTTAAAATCTACATTGACAAGCTAGAATAAATGACAGTTGCCTTTGCTATACAGCAGTTCGGGTGTTTCTTGCTGTGGTTGGGGCGACCCAAATGGTGTTTCTACGTTGAAGCGACCTTCCATAAGAGCATAACTGAACTTTCCCAACATGATTGGTGGAGATGGCGAAAGATATTGGTGGAGCTGTTCAGAACTAGGACTCTTGACATCCCAAGAGATCAGGAGATCAAGGTCTCAATCATGCTTAAACTCATTGGGGGCGCACAGATGTTGAAACCAAGGTGTTGTTCACGTCCAGAACTCAGTGTGCGTGGAATCTGTGTGGCCGTGCTTCTTTCAGCTCCAACTGCGTGGGAAAATTGCTGAAGTACGGAGTCTGGATGACTTGAAGTATTCTGACTATACAAGAATATGTGGAGGATGATTATTGGGATGGGCCAATACTTATTGTATCTATAGGGCCAATTTCGAGGTGACGAACATCCATTTAGCGGCTTTGTAGGTCATTCCGGTTCTGGCCCATACCCATATTCCATCACCTCTGGAGTGCGACAAACAAACGTTGGGGTGTTCCCCCATGACGTGGAATTGTCCTAGCGAGCTTCACAAACTAGACCTGTGTGATAGGCTAGGCTACCCCCAGAGATTTATCCAGATTTGATGTTTGTATCATTCATCATCAATTTCCCATGATTTTCCCCATGGAAATCCAGGGGGATATGTTGGATCTTTCCCCCGAAAATCTGGGGACAGCCCCCAGCAGGTCCCCAGTGACTGCATCGGTTACATCACCGGCAGCCGCCGTGCCACCTTGGGCCGGATGGAAGAGGAGTTGCCGGGCAGCAGCCGCTGGGGGGGGTGGTGGAGTTCACCAATAAAAATTGGGGGATGTTGAGTCGGTTTATAACTCCAATAACTATATGGTTTATGGTAGATAAGATATAGCAGCCTGGGGCGCGGTGGAGTTCACCAAGAAAAATTGGGGGATGTTGAGTTGGTTTATAGCTCCAAGAACTATATGGTTTATGGTAGATAAGATATATCTATATGTTGGGAATAAATATATGGTTTATGGATGTTTATGGTAGATACATCTATATGTTGGGGATTCAATAGGAATATAGAGCCACTATAAATATGATCAAGGTGAGACAACCAACACTGACAATATGATATTTGGGTCGGTCTTGAAAAGGGGGGGATTGAGATAAACTATCGTAAAATTGCATAAAATTGCAATTGTAATACGTAGAAAAATGGATGTCCTAGAATTTTCAGACAAACCTAAACGGGTAGTTGCTGACATCCACATGGGTTTGACAAAACGTGCAGTATACCACAATTTATGGCCGTTTGAATGGGGAAAGTGATGACAATCCATTGGCATTTCAGATACGCCTACATACACTGACCCACCAAAAATCAGCGTTATCAAGCCACAATCCTTGCGGAATGAAGGGAGCTTTTTGACCAACAACAACGACAACCAAGAGTTCAAATGACAACCGTTTTTCAGAAGACATGGATGAAGATGGGCCTACAACCTTACTCGTGGGATCCACGAAAATGGAAACCGCATTTGGATGCATTTGGAAGCAAAGCCATCAAGAAGCCCAGCAGGGGATCATTGGGAAAGCCACGCTTTCCAAGGTGGGGAACCCTCATGTTCTTCATGACCAAGGACAGGGATCCAGATTGGTGTAAATTGGATATTACTCAAAAGGAACCCATATTTCAGGAAATCATGGGGCTTTAGTTTTTTTTTTTACAAGAATTTTCGATATTTTTCGTCTTTATCAACAGATTGTTACTCAATTCTTCCATGAAGTAAGATCACTTGGAACATTTTTTTTCCCCACCGAAGAAGTTCTCCTGGCGGCTGGAGGACGGCGAGAAGGGCGGCCGCTCGGGGCAGGCGGAGAAGCTCATCATCTGCGGCAACGAGCGGGGCCGCAGAGGCAGGGGGCAGGGCATCCAGATATGGATCGGGATGGGATGGGATGGGATGGGATGTGTGTAAACTGATACGTTTATTGAGAAAAGGACATGGATCGGATTTTCCAGTTTATGTAAAAAGATGGATTTTGAAAGGACGGATCATGACGGATCCAAGGATTTACTGTAACCGCAAATGAGAATGGCTTTAGTTCGAGCATTGTTGAGCCCAAAATTGGATGGTGTCATAGATAATTAAAATAGGCCAAGATGACCTATTCCATGGGTCCGTTGGTACCCCTTTTGAGCCCTACCAATTTGAAGCAAGGATTTGACTTGACCCAGTTCTATTGCCTTCTCGTGACCTGTTTGGGGAAGAGACTCATATTGAACGTTTGTTCGTTGATGTTTGTAGGGGGTTATACTATCCAATCATATCCAATCTATTCGGGAATCACAATCCATGATGGGCGGAATATCATATCATATCTACCAACTAACCAGCCAGTGTAATGGAATGATAGAACACTGCGAATCTCAACTCAATGATGAAATCATCATCCACCACACTTCCGTCTCTCCTTTGGACGGGCTCATCCAGGCGCCGAGCTGAAGTGCATGAACGAGATCGAAAAGAAGGCAGACAAAGTGCTGGGAGGTCCAGAAGAAGTCAAGGGGTGATTAAAAGACCAGTTTCATCAGTTTCATCAGTTTCCAGTGCTCACAGACATCACATACCCTGATTCTCCTTGGTTCTTTCCCATTTTGGTGGCACTTACACCGCACATTACATTGGGGTTGTTCAATCCACCACCATCCACAAACGCGCGAGGCCCCAGGGCACTTCTCGCGCGGCCTGAGGCCCTTGTCATGTTGAAAGCACCCAAAAACTTGAAGCATGTCATTTGCTGGCCATGGCCCTGAATTGACACCCCCGAAGGTATGGTCAGAAAACGGTCTATTGGATTTTCTTTTTGAGTGACATGGGTTTGTCTCAACATGGCGGAGATGCCCCAAAATGAGCAATCATTGTAGTGTTGATGGTGAATTGCTTTGAAAAAGTGATGCTGGCGCCTTGTGATGCCAGGGAGAAGTTGTCAGACTCGCGAGGCTTTGACACTGATCGCATGGTGCCGGGCCCAGTGATGATTTTGATGTCCAGCCAGGGCCTGAAAAAACCACTTTGGGATTGGAGGAAAACAATGACTCAACCGATGGGATTGGAGGAATAAATGATAACAATGCCTAACAATGCTGGAACATCTAGAGTTTTGGAGGCTCTTGAGGTTTCTGGAAGCAACTTCTGCGAGTAAGACTATGGCCATAAAACGATAGCCATGAGCCAGTTGCAAAATAGACTTTGAGGAGGTACTCCTGTGATGGGGTTTTCCTCAACTGTCTGTGAGGATTTTGAGCACCTTCAAATCAAATGATTGGAGATACCCATCAGTGTTGATGTCCAACAGGGAACCATCAGGCCATCAAAGAAGATGAGCTCAGCTATGTCATCGGTAAGGAAGCTGCGACTCAGAAGAAGATCGAGAAGGCCTGTAGGATCTCAGTGTAGGATCTCAGGATTCAGTGGGATCAAACATTGAATTCCACTGCCAAAATTTGGGTCGGCGAGATACTTTGGGACCAGTTAGTTTGGCTATGTCACATGTCATTTCATTGCACATTTTTCTGAGCCATTGGAGGTTTGAACTCAAGTGTACAACCTACTGCTATCAGTCAAGGTGTACCGCTAACCTGGATTTTTGTGGATCCTGTGGATGACCATACCGTGACCTGCCTTGTAAGGCAGCGGGCTGCATTCTGCAGTTTGTGGGACGCTATGCCTTCATGGCAGGAATTTTGAAGGCGCCGATGTGCAGCTGATGGCATCTGCTATGACTCGGGGTGACTTTTGAGGGATGCTAACGTGACATTCCTGGTGGAAACTGGGGAAGGCCTAGCTGCTCTATAGACACCATCCTGAACGCAACATCGAAAGATACGTGCAGCTCTTAAGATTAAGATGGACAATCTGAAAAACTCAGAGAAAAGAAATGTGGTTCCACTGTTGGTCTTCCATTGGGAGCACTTGCCATTCAGACTGGACACCGCCAGGAACGAAAAAGATGCAAGGAGTACATCGGATGGCTCCTTCAGCAGCTCAAAGGTGGCGACCATCCCTACCTGGATGTTGAAGTACCATGGTTACGCTAGGATCAATGGGGATAACCACCACATTTTGGGATACTTGGGGTACTTATGTACCATGGCTATCAAGTCCCATTCAGAACTTGCCAACTCTGATAAACATCCAGTTGTGACCTTTGTATTTTTACAGTTCGGTGGCCTTCACAAAACAATTGAAACAAAAGATTGGCGGAAGATGCTGACCATCTTCCACTTGCCAAAAAAAATGCAATAGGACAATTGTTTTTCAGAACGGGCATGGGTCAAAATTGGGTACCAATATCGAAATATGATATATAGAAGCGCAAAACTAGAATAATTGATATGAATTGATCATTTTGATATATTTAAGAACTGATCATTTATATAATTTTATATATGTGAAGATATTTCGATCATTTCATTTAGTACAGCATCCAATTCTCGGGAGTTGATCAGCACTGCATGCCTTCATCAGGCGCTGTGACGATCCCAGATGTGACGGATCGGGAAGATTGCACAGAGCCTTGGTCAAATTGGATATGGGTCATGTTTTCCATCATGGAGATGATCGATTGACATAAATGGAACATCTTCCAATGACCAACCTGGGTCCAGGTTTCTTAGTATGGTTGTTGATCCACAAAAGGATGCGTTTTGAGTTTTGCATCATCTCATTTTGGGGGTCACTGGCTTGACCCCTCTTTTTTTTTTTGGGGGGGGGGTGGCTGCGTGGCTGCCAAGCTGCCTTTCTGTGGAAGCCGGGGGTTTCGCACTGAGGAAATGCATATTCCCGCCAACTGCCAGGGACTCAGGGTTGTGGGCTAGAAAAAGGGGGTTGGAATCCCCAGAGTCGTTGGTGAATTGTCATTGGGCCCTGACAATTAATTATCATGCAAATCTGGTTGGTGGTTTGGAACATTTTTTATTTTTCCATATATTGGGAATAATCATCTCAACTGACTAGTATTTTTCAGAGGGGTAGGTATACCACCAGCCAGAAATACATTTCACACCTCTGCTAACTACTTCGTCATTTAGTAATTCAGTATCATCTACTCGTATAGTCTATAGTCATACAGTTTAAACTTGGAAGTTCAAACAGATCAACAACCATCCAGCAGGGAAGAAATGCAAGCTTCCATATTGGGCTTCCTAAAATAGGGGTACAAAATTATCCAAAATTAGACCATTTTAGTATTGAAACCCATGGTTTTGGAGGTACCTCCATTTATGGAACCCCATTGTTCTACTAATCTATACTCATCCAATATCCCGCGAGCGGCACCCGCTGAACGTTAAAAGCCACGAGGCAAGGGCTGGGTCACTGGCAATCGCGGTAGCGAGTTGCGTCGCATGGAACATGAGAGCCTCGGTTGCAGTGTACACTAAGCTTGGTCTGAAAAAGAGGGGGGTTGCAACGGTTGCAGCGCCAATTTTTTTTATGGATGCTATTGGATATGGGATACTATTGGGGAACACAAACATGATGATTCACCGGCGACATCCAGCGGATTTGGATCAATTACAGTATTTATGGCCAGGAAAATGATGATGTAATCACCAAAATTTGGGCATATAACAATGGAGTACTATGGATAATTATTGTATACTGTCTACTTCATGTTGGATAATTGAGTCTAGCCATTCATTGGGGAACCTGATGATTAACCAGGGTATTTGGGGGATACCATAATGCATCATAGGTCCAAATTTTGGGACATACAGAAAGTGGGTTTGTCTCATCTGAGGGTATCCCACTATTCAGTGCTTCATCATAATTCTCTCAGCATAGTTTTGGGATCTTCCCCCTCTTTCTGGACGAATAGATGCAGGTAGATCAATCCAAACGCTTCATCTCAGCACTCGTCTTCTCGTTTCGTCGAGCGGTTCCATTGGTCTGTTCGACCCAGCAATTTGTTCCACCAAACCTTGGGTCCACGTCCCACCTCAAACCTAGGATTTTAAATTTCAGAACGCTGGTTTTCTCTTGACATCTCTTGACTTTTCGTTTTCTCCCAAGATTTCCATAGATTTTCTTAGATGACTTTCTACCGGATTGGCTCCCCACCATCCAACCATATCCAACCATATCCCAACCATTTTTTCCAAGCGACGTCCCACCAGGACGGCCACCTACATGTTCATGGCGCTGGATGGTCGCGGAGACGAGCGGCTCTGCATCTTCAGCCACGAATTGGGCTCCAAAGTCTCCACCACCGGGCGGATGGCGCCGTGGTTGGTGATGGGATGGGGATGCGAAGTTGGAGACTTGGTGGGGATAACTATATATATTACATGATATATTACTATATAATACTGTATATGTATATACTATTTTATATTTATATTTTGATAATATCATAGTATAATAATATATAAAACATATTATACATATATATATATAATATGATACATATTGGCTCATGTACATGTACAGTTTTAATATGGGGAGTAAATGGGATGATTAATTCTGTACATCCTGGGATCTTGGGATTCCTAGGTGGGATTGATCCATGGGTGATGACGAGTTTGCTTTGAATCAACCCGTTGAATCTCAGATTTGTGGGGTCACTCCCAGTATCTCCCAGTTGCCGTTGCTCAAATCTCCATATTTTCTGAGTCCGAGCCATTTTTCCGGGCTTTTGCTGGTCAAACTATGGCAAAATCCGATTTTTTGGAGGATTTCCTCCAGCTTTGTCACAGTTAGGCTGCAGAGCGCTTGGTGAACGAGCTCGTGCAGGACTTACTAACCGGGGCTGTGGGCCATTTGTCAAAGTGTGATCATGTTCCAAATATGTTAGTTTGGAGGTATAATTATATACATCACACATATGTACATATATAACATATATATATATACATACATATATTATAATTATACATACAACATATAGTATATCATTCATGTTATCATTCATTATATCATTCATGTTATCATTCATACAACATATATATATATATTATAGTTATCATTCATGTTTTTTTTCCAGTTATAGTCATGATATGATGATGATTAGAGGAGAAGCTGCGCGGCGACGATGACCGCCGCAGCGACTCCCGGGGGCGCTCCCCGCCGCGGCGCCGTCCGGGACACGCCCGTGGGTTTTCGGGGAACAGCAGCGTTGATGGTGGGAAACTATGGATAGATATGGTAAATTTATGTAACATATGTCAATTTCACATTGAAGATTATGAGAAAATCCCAGATGCAGTTGAAGATTACTGTTTCGAGACAATTTTTTGGGTGTGAAGAAATACAAGTGAAAGAAGAAAAAGGGAACCTATGATGACATCAGTCAAGTATAACTATAAACAAGACATGGGATATGATTCTTAAGACTGGGATCCCCAAAATCGAGTATTAGTCTGATTTAGGAGGACATTGGGAGTTTTGGGCTTCCTCAATTGTACACAAAAATTAGGTGCAGAGGAAACATGTCGAATTGGACAGTCACAGAAATACAAAGTATCCAAACTGTCTGACAAAATTTCAAAATTCTTGTATTTCAATACATTTATGGACAAAATATAGCGGCCTCACAACACCATACATGATGGTAAGTCGGGTAAAGTACCCAAAAATGCCTTCATGTCAGGCTTGGGAACTAGAATGCATTTCCAGATATGATATGCCAAATACATATTAAAAGTAAGTCAGTAGTGTGGCTTGGGAAGGATTTACCACATACCCGAAAAGTTACCAGCAAAAATCACCAGGGGATCAACCAAGCAGCAAAGCTCTGCTGAGGTTCCGACTCGCGCCGTCGCTCGCCGTTGGGGGAGCTCAGCTCTGCTGTTTCGGTGAAATCCTGGGAGGGCCCACAACAATCAACTGCTTGTAGCATGATTCCTTTCACAGGTTGCAAAAACACCGGTCAATGGTTGGTATAGAACCAAGATGAACCAAGAACATTGCACCAACAGTAGGAGCAAGAAGAAGAGATAGATTTAATTGGCATTAATTGGCCATATTGGGGCATAGATTTGACTGATCCCATGCCCTGAATATTATAAAGATACCACCGCAGAACCCAGAACCCCAGGGTTTACTTTGGATCTATTTACCCCAGGGATAGTGAATACAGCCCTGTATATGTTCTGCACGAATCCCATTTCAGGATGCTTAAACCATATCATATAAACCCCATGTTTGATGATTCAACCACCATTTTTTCACCTGATACCTCAGTTGATACTAATACTTATCAAATACCTCAGTAGATATATCATATCTTATCATATCTTATCTTATCTGAGGTATATCATGGTATATACTAAGTCCATCTAAGCCCATGGAGGTTTCTACCCACCCCACAGCCCCAGCCCAGGCCTCGCTCCCCACCGCGACGGTCGCCCTCCTATCGGGGCAACAGAAAGGGCCGCCGCGACTCGCGAGCGCGCAACGACTCGCGACGGCGATGAGGAGCCTGGGTTTTTGGGGGATCCCCCTGGAGGTTGGAGATGGATGGATATGGTGGATGTTGATGGGTTTAATATATTTATTATTTATATATATATATTATATTTATTTATTTATTTATCTATTTATTTATTTATTTATTTATTATTCTTATTTATTTATTTGTTTGTTTGTTTGTATATTTGTTTTTTGGGGGAGAATCTAGTTTTCATCGATTGGTTTCACGAAAGATTCAGGTGTCCTGCTTTCCCTTTAACCATTCCCATGGTTATACTCATTGAGTGTGGGAGAAAATAGTGGATGATATCCCAAGAAATTGCCATCTTCAATAACCATGTGATCATTAACCATGAAATTTTGGAGTGCCTGCCCTAAACTGGCTAAATCTTAGTTGAGAGCTTAAGTTTGTTCGTAGATGGGTCATAGGAACTCGTGTATTGTACTACTTGTCGCACCCATCACTTCGACCCCTTGGTTGATACAGTCACTTGTGGGGTGCATGACCTTGACAGCATTTGTTCTGCAACAACGAGGAGTGTCACCAACATTTGTCACCTCTCTTGTTTGGACTGAACGAGCACCTGCCAAGTGGTAGATGATGGACTCGACCAATGATGGTATGAAACATGAGTCAATTCGCTCGGATTTGTTTGGGGGGTTGATGGGGGCGAATTTCTTGGAAGATTTAATTTGTTGGAAGATTTATATAGATTTATAGTCCCAAGTAGGTCCAATTAACGGTGCAATATGCTGCATAATCATCTTCTATCGCTTACGATCCACCTCAGTGGACATCCCGGGAAGGTGCGCCTCATGGGTTTCCCAGGGGGTGAAAATACAACATCTTTGGACCTGGGGAACCATGGGGAACCACAGAATTTTGGGTCACTTTTTTTTTTCCATTCTGCAGCAGAAGAAGTCCAGGCTTCGCGCTGACATGCTAGGGAACAAACTGAATTCAAAACAGACAGGCCTACACAGGCTGGTAGTCTGGTAAGAAATGCCCCGCAAAAACAGTCTGAGATCGTTGGGTGACTGTGTGGAGCCATTTGGTTTCGCGCTCTCCGAGCTGCAAAACACTGCGAATTGCACTGCCTTCAGTGCGACGCCTCTCAGCCAAACCCTCGAACAGCGTAATCACTAACGCTTTGCAAAGTCCAGAGGGATATTCCTTGGCTTGGGCAGTTCTAAAGAGGCCTGTTGCCTCATCAATACCCTGCAATGGGTTCACTGGGCGAGCACAGCTAGGGTCAGCTTGGCGGTGCAGGGATCGAGCAGCGTGAGGCAATCCCATGGCACGGATCACCGTTGGTTTCACAGCTGAAGATCCATACTTCCACTGCTGAATGCGAATCTGCTTGGAGTGAGGAGCTGCACGGCAAAGTACCCGTTGTAGCGCAGTTCGCCAAATGCTTACGTACTCCTCCTGGTCGTGAGGTGCCGGGTGCTCTTGTAGTGCAGCCCCATTATTCAAGATAACCTTGAGCTCGATCTCAATGTTGGAGAGCATCAGCGCGCTACCAGTTGCAAGCTGTTGAAGTTCCTTGAACGAAAGGAGCTCCAGTCCCCACGGGAGTGCCCCAGAACGTAAAGGCCTCGGCCAACGAATCGTGCTGCCTTCTGGTGGTTGAAGATGACGCGCTGCACTCCACGTTTCGCACGGTGGGCCGGATAAGGTCCCAGCAACGAGCCCTGCGTCCACAATGCGGTGAAGAGCTTGTAGACCTTGTCCATGCAAAAGGTCGCAGTGTTCACCACATACGGCCGTGTCAATGGACAAGATGACAGCCCCAAGGTCTTGGAAATATTGGGAAACAAGAGTATGTGCCCAATCATGGCAATCTCCCTCACGCCGTCGCCCAGAGAATAAGTGAAGGATGAGAAGCACCCTTTGGCCATTCTCAAGTTCACAAACAGGGACCCCTCGCTGTTGCGGCCAAGAAAGGACAGACGCATCAGTGAAAAAGCTCAAAGCATCAGGCATGCAGGAATAGGTGGAGGCAAAAGGCTCAATGGCGCGCGGTTGCCGTCCATCTCGTGGGGGATCATCCTGCGCGGTCACAGGCATGTCCCAGCGCGGAGGTCTGGCACGATGCAATCGCTCCAACCGATCAATGAGAGAAGACACCGGCATATCGTCCAGCAAGCGCAAATACTCTTCTTCAATAAGCAAAAAATGGTCTGGATCCTCAAATTGCTCATTCAAATCATATAAGCACTCACGGCCCCACAATGCAAAGGACCAAATCGCATGGTGATGAGCATCGTGTCCCTGCGCAGCAAAACCGTCAACGATGTGGCACCATGTCAAAGACAGCGAAGAGTCACCATCTGACCGCCATTCCAACGCTGCGGCCGTAAGCGCAGTGTGTACTTCATCACAAATGGAGCTGGAGAGGTCATCCGGGAATCCATGTCGGTGCCAGTCTTCAGTCCACAACTGCCAATCACGGGCCATCTGTCGATCCCAACACGTCAAGGGATCAGGTTGAGCCGGGCCGGCAGCAAACGTCCAAGGCAGACGATGCCGGCCACGATGCATGTCAGGAAGAGAAACCTGAACAGACTCATCAAGTGGATCTAAGTGTTTCACCAGCCACCAGTAACATCCATCAGCAGAGCGCTTGGAATAACGAATGTGCTGTTGAAGACGCTGGGCAGTCCAAAAGCATCTGCGGCAGCATTCACAAACGCCAGAGAACACATAACGCCGCTCACTTGAAATGATCCCATGAGCCTTCCATTTGTGGGCTGAGAGGCCTTGGACAGAGGAAAAGCTTCGACAGCATTTGTCACAACTAAACACTCCGCCAACATGGACCTCCGTCTGTGGAAAATCAAACTCAACACCAGCTTGACGGCATAGAGTGTGGAATCTCTGATGCATCTGAACCACATGATGAGCTGTATGCTCCTGCAACAAATGGCGTCGAAGAGCATGTCGAATAGATCTCATCTGAGTAGAAGCGGTACGCTGTACCCATTCAAGCAATACTGAGACAGAGCAATCATGGCAGGGAACCTCTGTCTGCATAGTGGCAAGCCATTGAAGTGCATGACGCACTGCATGCAGCCATGAAGTGCGGCAGGTCTCATCTTCTGCCGTGATCATATCCCAAACAACCAAGGGAGCTTGCTTGTGAAGTTGGAACCGGAACAATAAACGGTGTTTGGCCAAGCGAACTGCAAGACCTGGAATCTTCCAGTGAGCTCGAAAGGCTGCATCAGTCACATTGCCATCTGACCAATATCCAGTGCCAACAATCTGCCGTTGCCATTTGGTGATCACTGCAGACAGACGTTGAAACTGCCGTGCAGATAGCAAAGGCCAACCACCACTTCCATAGAAAATGATCGGCAAGACCAGGGTTTCAAACAACTGCAGCCTCAAACGCACTGAGAGACGTCGATTGTAAAACAAAGCACGAGACATGCTGCGAATTGCCGAGGAAGCTTTGCCTATCTTGTAGTTCAGGTCTGAGCTCAGGTCAGAGTGTTGAGCAACAATGAGACCCAAATGGGTATACTGCGACACAATCCTGAGGTCGTCTGCTCCAGCCACAGGCAACTTGCCGAAGCCATCGATGAATCTCTTTCTGCGCAACTCAGGGGCTTGGGGTCCTCGATATTGGACAATTGCTTCTGTTTTGCCAGGACTGCAATTCAGTCGCAAACCATAGCTGGCAAAAGTACTGTGCATACAGAGCATGATTTGTTCAAGGAGCGCATCAAGCTGACATGCATGCAAGCACGGCACAGGAAGAGCAACGTCATCAACCCAAGCCAAAAGTGGAGCACGACACTGCAAAAATGCGTTGGCATGTTGAATGCCCGGCAACTCATCAATTGCAGCCTGCAGAGTACGCAACAAGGAACTCATCATCACATTGTACGCCAAATCGGCGATGGGAGAACCCGGTCTGGATCCTCTTTCAGTAGCAAAGCAGCGATCGCTACCAGGACATACGAACCAGGTGTTCTGATGAGCATCACGCATGACACGGGCCACACTGGCTGGTGCGCCCTCAAAATCTTGCGCATGAAGTCGCACTTGTTGAAGCAGTTGGTCAACATCCAGGCCTTCCTGCTGTAGGGTCTGTACCAATGGGTAAGGCAAGTCCCAACCGGTGCCAAAAGCATGCTGTCTGAGAAGGCAGTGGAAGGCACTTCGGACATCAACAAAAATGGTGGCACAAGACAACCGTTTGGCCGCAACAAAGTTGGTATAACATCTCAGCATCAAAGTCGCAAAGATGGTCTGCTGGCCCTTGTAACCTCCAAACTGAGTTGCGAGCTTGTTCTCTGTGGCCCATGGCAGTAGCTGTTTGCGGACAAGCGCGTGGAACAGCTTGGCAAGGGAGTCCAACAACATGATGCCGCGCATGTTGGCAGCACACATGGTAGTGCCCCCTTGCTTCTTTGCTATTGAGCATATGGAACCTCCCTTGAATTGGGCTGGTTCGGCAGCCAACACCCAAATCTTGAAAAGGAGAGCGAAGAAAAGCTCGGAATGCTCATTCATGCACCGCTGGAGCACCTCTGCTTGGATGCCATCAAGGCCAGGTGCTCGTCCTGCCTTGGCGAGTTTGCACAGAGACTCAATTTCGGTGCGAGAGGGGATGTCACAAAGGTTGATGACAAGGGGCAACTCATTCACTGCCTCTTTCTGTCGCTGATGGCACTTTTCCACCAAAGAAGCGTAGTCAGTAGGATGACCAGCTTCAAGTTGGCAGTAATGCTGGGTAAGCTCATCAACCTGGGGTCCAAGACATCTAATGTTGGACTTGCGTTTGGCAATGCCCTTAGGCAACAGGTGCTTGATGCACCTCCACAAACCAGTCAAGCCTTCATCAGCCGCAATCTCGCTCTGACGGGCAACCAGCTGCTCATAGTACAAGCGGTCATCATTGCGAACTGCCAATAGAACCACTTTGCAAAGACGCTGATGTTGACAAAAGTGAAATGCAAAGGCGTGGTCACATAGCGTTAGCCAAGGCCGAAGGCATCGCTGAGACTCCAAGAGGGACCCAGTTCGCCAAGCGTCAAACATGGCACGCAGGAAAGCAACTCGGGCTGTGTGCCGCAGTTGTCGACAACGGCGCCAGTGCCAGCGCTTTTGCTCAATCAGTTGCCATGTAGCAGGTTGAAGGTGACGTTTTCTTCGTTGCCGAGACCGGCCAGAAGGTTGCCTCTTCTGCATCCATTGCTGGAGAATGTTGGCATGGGTATGCACATCCGTGCCCCAGGGTACTTGTGGTAGAACAGCTTCGTCAACAGGAGGAGAGTTCAGAATCTGATGGCTCCGGCCAATGGTCACACTGCACTCAAAAGGGGCTTCCAGGACGACAGCCGAATTGTCTTGTTTCTGAATAGTCAAGTCAATATCAGAGACCCAAGTGCGCATTGCAGGCGCCCGCAAAGATTGATCAATCGCAATAAAATCAAGGCGAGCACCAGTTTCCGAATGGTGAACCCAGGTTTCATGTGGTCCTTGATGAACATCAGCATCTGTCTGAGGCAGGCACAGAGAGTTCTGGTGCAACCAAGAGTGGAAGCACTCACCCGCCAGATTTTCAACTTCAGCACCAAAGGGTCCCACACACTCGGATGTCTCAGATCCAACGTCAAGTAGAGCAATCACAGGCCATGAACGCAAAACACTTGGAATCATGGCAGTAAGTGCCGACCAAAAAGCTGTAGCCTCATCAAATGTGGGGCATGCAGGCGCATGTGCCACCAACAAAATCAATCGAAGATCATCCTTGCACAACCGCACAACCATTCGTTGAGTGGTAGCCGAAAGAATATGCAGGTTGCCAACTTCAATGTGCAAGGGACCTTGAGGAGTGTGCCAACAGGAATTGATCCAAAGTTGAACTCCTCCAACGCCTTTCTTGGAGGCAGAGGATGACAGCACATGGTAACCTTCACAGATGGTATGCCCTTGCAACTGGGAACGTGTTTCCTGTACCCCAACAATGTTGACTTGCTGAAGGGCAAACGATCGCACCAGAGATTCCATGCGTGCTGAGATACCAGAGCCTGCTGCAGTTTTGGTCGGATGCAGCGTCAAGACATTGGCAGTGGCACAGCGAAGGGTCAGTGATATCGTAGTACGAGAACCAACCTTGATCTGCCGGCTCTGTGGCATTGGATGCTGGTCACCATTGGGTGATTTGCAAAATGGGGCAGTAGCATTCACCCGCATGAAGCCATCCCACAACGGCGGGAAGGCCGGGTCTCCTTGTGCGGTGGCTTCCAATAACCACAACCATTGAACATCAGGAGATGACTCAAGCAACTGTAGCAAAGGGACAGCGGCAGGAGCATCAATCCATTGGGAGACAACGGCCCATGCAACAGCATCAGCGGCTTCATTCCAAGGATGTCCGTTGTGAGCAAAAACATGGTGCCATTGACATGCAACATGATATCGACGCTCAATCCATTGCACCAATGATCTTGTCGCCGTTTGCAAGGCCACGTGGGACTGAATTCTCCAAGCCCCATTAGCTGTGAAGCCAGCCACAAGGCAATCAAAACAGAAGGCAATGGTCGGAGACAAACACGCAAATTGCTCACAAAGTTGCTGGGCCCATAAAGCTGCCACAAGTACGCTGATCATTTCGGCTTGAGGTGCAAAAACGCCTGCAGCCAATTGAAAGCAGCGAAATCCTCCAAATCGATCACCGGCCGGGGTGTGTACAATGAGCACAATGGCAGCCGAAGCGGCTCGTTCATCATTCAGAAGCGCAGACGAGCCATCAGTGAAAAAGGAGAACCCCAACGGGGTCTCAGACTGCCAGCTCGGTGTGATTGCCAAAGCACTCTGAGTGGCCGGATGCCATTTAATAATGTTGTCAGCATATCGAACAGTGCCAAGGTCCACATTTCGGATTTGGCAATGGAGATGTTGAACTGAACGAAAATCCAATGAAATGAACACCGGCGCTTCAATGGTCTGAGCCAGGGAAATGGATCGTGGATTTGGCTGTGGCCGGTGGGCATGAGCTACCGTCCCACCTGTTAAGCGCTCACTAGCCAATCCCGCTGCATGTGCAATCCGAAGAGTCAGGCCACATCCATGGCGTCCAGCAACAGGGTGTCCATTGGCAATTGGAGTATTCCCCCACCATATAGAGCATAGGCGAGGTGTGGCAGAAGTGATGCAAATGTCCTCATATCCAGCCTGTTGAATCACTTGCGAAAAGTGAAGGGGGTTCAAAGTTGTGATGACCATACGGAAGTAAGGACCATCATCAGGATGCCAGTCCCGATCATACACCGAGATCAGAGAACTAATCCAGTGCTCATGAGGAGATTGCACGACAATCACATGTGCCGTGATACCTGGCTCCAAGTGGGGTGGCAAGGGATCCACAACACACATGGTGATGACATTGCCAGGAATGATGTGATCAGACCAGGCTGCTTTGATCGCTTCCTCCCAGCCAGTGACATCGTCAGAAAGAGCAACTCGACGGGGATGCTGACACCGAGGAAATGGAAGATGGTGACTCACAAACCAGGTACTGACGTAAGCCACCCTTTCCTCACCTTCCCATGCAATCGCAACCTGATTCCAAAGCTCAAACAGATTTTGCACAAGTTCACTGCGCTGCATAGTGGCAAGAACTCCTGGTTGAAACACTGGAGCATGAGCATTGAAGGGAAACTCCGGGCAGAGTGAAGAAGGGCGATCCTCCAGAGTGTCATGAGGCACAGTGAAGCACAATGTACCAACATTACAAGGCTGCATCAGTGGCACGTCCTGAAAGTCAAGGTCATCACCAGAAAAATGACTTCTGAAGCGATGAACAACTCCCTGCAAAAGTCGCATGGCTTTGCTGGCACGATGAAGGCCACTGGAGGATGCAGCATCACCCCCAGCATCAGGACAATCATCAAACGGCCGCTTGTGAGGAGGCTGAGGCTCGGCATCAGAGTCAACCAGGAGGTCGGCAACTTCATTGTCAAAGGTTTCGTCATCAATTTGATCATCAAGTGGAAGGACAACAACTCGGAGGTAAAGACCATGTTGTGTGTCATAACGACGAGAATCATCTGGTGACCACTCAGCGTTGTTCCAATAAAGTCTACATCGATCAGCTTGTCGGGTGCAGTAATCAGAGAAATGAAGTTGCAGAAGCAAGTCATCTCGACTAATGCGTGAGGGAAGCTGATGCACCTGTCGATTCAATGTGGGAGTAGACGCATGGAAGTGCAACTCAATGTCAATCAAAGCCAGTTTGCGAAGTGAGCCAATTGGAATGTCACTCACAAACTGTAAGATGACCCCTTCTTCAGCATCATGTTGATCAACCGTTGGGGCAGCCAAATAGTGAATCCCGATGACATCACGTAATCGCAGACGCATCTGGCGCACCAAGTCCATCAAAACAGCATTGTAAGTGGTCCAACGCACAAAAACATGTTGAGAAGGACGTCCCAAACTGTAGACGTGGACACCTTCCATGGCCTCATCATCAGAGGCCCATACTTCGGATTCAGAGGCTTCATGCGTAGAGGGAGCTTCCTGAGATGAAACATCATCTGCCACATAAGCTTCAATTGATTCACCAGGAGGGGGAGGTCCTTCAACGACTTCACCTGGAGCATGTGTATGATGGTCCGAGAACCGCACAGTGAAGGAATGCCCATGTTCCATATATGATGAACTGGCTCATCGGTGACTGGGATGGTCTGCCATTCATGATTGATGAAGCATCTGCGTCCTTGGGCATGATTTCGCAAATGTGCCCTAGTCACAATGTCAATACCACTGACTCGCCCTGGGAACGATATTGCCACATGGTAAAATGTCTCAACCGCAGGAGGATAGACAGTAACCAGTCCACCATAAAGAGACTGATGTCCCTGGGTGACAAGCACATCTGCAAGTACCACAGATCCTGACGGGCGAGGCAGGTCAGGGACAGCAGGAAGCACATAATGGTATGAAACTGCAAGCCCAGGTCGAAGCTGATCAGTCCATCGGGATCGAATTGTAGAAATCCAGGCTTGGGCAGAAAGCGGCAAGTCAATCAGCCGTGCTTGGGTCCAATAGGAAACTTCAGGAAAATGCAGGAACCACGTCCGAATACGAAAATGCTGACCACCAGTAACTTGCAATGATTGCGAACTGAAATGTGACTGCAGTTGAGAGAGAAAACGCTCATCTGGGTTGTCCTCAATGGCAGCACGAGACGAAGATGACGGATGATTCAAGTGAGGCTCAAATGCCATGAAAGAACTGAAGTCATCAAGGTCGTCATCAGGCGGAAATACCTCCACAGTCAAGGCAGTGAACATGCGAGTGGGCAACTGCATGTCAGCCAACAGTGGTACGTCTCCAAGGTATACGAAGCACTGTCGAAGATTGCATTGAACACTAGCAGGAATAGCATCGATGGCATCACCTCTTGTCAGAATGGGATTCAAAATCTGCGCACTCTGCTGCAAGGCATCAATCCGTGTGCTGCGAAAATAGCCAGTCACAACTCCTGCAGATTCATCTACAACTTCTTGTGCAAGGATGAGATGAGCTGCATGACCTTGAAAAACACTGGATGGAGGATCAGGGGACACAACGCCAATGTGCACAGGTACAGTGTGGACAATACGTTCACGCCATCGGTCACGCAGGATGTCAAGCCATGAAGTCCAATCACGATCAAGCCGTACAACGCGAGGTTGGTCACACCGTCGAAAGGTCGTACCATGTAGATACCAAGTGAGGACGTAGATTACAGAACCTTCATCTTCCTGTTCAACATAACCATGTCGCTCACGAAGGGTTCTCAATTGTTGCCACCATTCAGGCAAAGCATGTGGATCAGCATGAGTGAGCCCAAACGGGTCAAGATCCAAGGGCACAGGAAAATCCTCAGTAGAGCTTGTAAACTGAGGGGCATGACCAGGTGGACCATCAAGTCGAAGAGCAACCGAATCAGGAGTGCTCAACATCTGGGTGCCACATGCAAGCTCACGGGCATCAAATGAGCTGCTAGTGTCATTCGTTTTGATCCACCACTTGGAAACGGGATCAAAGTCAACCTCAAACAGGCGTAACTGCAAAGAAGACTCCAGAATAAAAGCTTTTTCTCTGGCATCCCATGCGCTGGAAAAATCTGGCTCGTCAAATACAGTGTGAGCAGGCAGAACTTCTGAAAAGGGAACTGCAGGAAGTTCTGCAAAACTGCATAGGGGAACACTGTCGCTACCACCCCAGAAATTGCTGCTACAAGAATGCCAAGATGGGAGTTCACCCTCAATCTCAACCAATGGCCAAAACATGAGCTGGCAAAATCTGTCTGCATTTCGCCTCATGGCTCTCCTCACTGCTGTGTCACACGCAGTAGAGGCCTCTTCAACAGACGCACGGAGGCATGAGGCTAATCGGAGTCCCGAGAGCGTTTGGGAATTGGCTCCAAGATCTCCACATCGTCGTTCTCCTTCAGATCCTTCTTGGATCTTGACCGAGAACGGTCTCGTCCCTTGATCTTTTCCTCGATGGTGTCTTTGACCTGCTTGACCACGCCCGTGAGCTCCTTCTTGATTTGCGAAAAGTCGCTGTCTAACACCGGGGTGCCCTGTTCTTCCAACTGCTTGGTAGCATCCAGGGCCTCCTGTGCAGTCTCCAAGTCGGCGTTGCCGTCCCCTGTCCCTTGCTCCATCGTGTGCATGTGTACCTCGTGGAGTCGTTGACGGGTGTCTTGGAGGCTCTGCATCATGTCTTTCCGCTTCTCTGTGAACTTGGCTTTTCCAGCCTCGAAGTCTTCCACGTGGGAGAGCCAGAGCTGGGAAGCCTTCTCGATGTAGTTGGCCCACTGAATGCGGTAGGCCTCCCATTGCTCGTCCAGATCCGACAGCTTCTTGCGTACTGTCTTGAGCTGATCTATGAGCTGCTTGTGGGATTTGGCATCTGCCTTCCACAAGGTGGCTTCGGCAGTCTTGACCACCTGTTGAACATCGTCGGGCAAGTTCGGCTTGTCTTTGAGCTCCTTGTACATCAAGCGCAGGGAAGCAAGTTCGGTGTCCTCCTTCTGCTTGGGCTTGGGAAATGGCTGCATCGCAGGCAATGAGCTCAAGGAAGGCATCAGAGACTCCGCATGTGGAAGGGCTGTGGCTTCCGTGGCTAGCGAAGAGGGCATTTGCGGCGGAGCAAGCCATTGCGTAGATGGCGGCAAAGGAGCGAAGCTTTCTTTGCCTTTGGTTTTGCCCTTGCCTTTGTTGTGCTCCTCTTCGTCGGGGTAGCTCTGGTATTTCGGCCTGGACTTGGGCCGATTCTGTCGCTGTCTGGGGCTCTGAGTACGTTGCCTCGGCGATTTCGAACGTGCTTCGTTGTTCCATCCATATTCGTTGGTGTGCCAAGGGGCTTCTGTCCATCCACTTGCATAGTCTGTCCGCTGTACTCTGCGATGTGGTTGGTGGACATACGAAGCATCCAGGCATTGCGTCCAATGAAGGTGGCAACCGCCACACTGGCTGGACGTGCCCTTGACCATGCGCATGCAATGCCTGCAACGCCATGGATCGGGTTTCTTCTCCATCTCTGCTCTGATTCGCGCCAACAGAGTCGGATCCTTCGAGTGATGTGCACTGAGGATATGGAGAAGGGCCCTCAAGCGCCTGCTGGAAAGTCGACAAAGTCCTTGTCGATGTAGGTACCAGGAAAGCCGCGCTTTTGCGCGCAGCTTGCGCAATCTCCTTCTCCGCGTTGGAGTAATACTGAGCAATGACAATGATGAAGAGGAAAAGAAATACCCACAATGGCATCAACAAAATTGCAATAGACTCACCGAGATCAGTGTGCAGCCTCCAGCTAGCAGAGATCAATCGAGAACCTGAAAGCAAATGAAGTGCGTGTCCACGATGTCCACAATGACCAACGTGTACACAAAGAAGACCAAAATGGAGCAACCAGTGCAAGCAAAGCCCGAGCTTCGTCGGGATGTTCGCGAGACCAGGATGCAAAGGTGATACCAGTTGGTCAATCTGGTAGAGCACAGCTGCTACGCCACAAGCGCACCGCAGCAAGGCCAAGGCGAAAAGGCCCGCGGACACAGATCCGCTAAGGTACGGGTTACACGAGGGGAACTTGAACCCAAACCTTTTTTGGGTCACTGTTGGTAAAAAAGACTCTGTTATTTTTTGGAGAATGGACATTCCACCCACCTCCATTTTGAGAAGGGAAATCCAACATAAGAAGGTGCCACAGATGTAATTGATGTGTTGTTCAAATGTGTCTTATTTGGTCCATGCCACTCCAATATCAGGGTTGCCATACATATCATACATGACCCCAAAATCCCAGGTAAACCAAGGGCCAAGTGATCCATGGATTCATGGGTTTTAAGATGTTTTACCCTCTGGCTATGACTAACATAGCCATGGGAAATGGCCCATTTATAGATGGTTTACCTATTAAAAATGATGATTTTCCATGGCAATGTTAAATAACCAGATGGTAAGTACTTTTGTATGGTCCCAACTGACCAGGTAGTATACAAACAACACGCCAATGTCAATCATTTGGCAGGTCACCCGACGGCGGGCAGCCGCTGCGGGCGGCCGCTCTGTCGGTGTTTCGGTGTGTGACAGGTGTATCACGTGGTGAAAAAAAAGGGATGGCGGTCCTCTCCCAGAGGGGCTGCGGGGATGGGCGTGCTGGGTGCGATGGCGACATCTTTTTGGCCGAAGAAAAAGACGAATCACCAGTGATTCACCAGTGATTCACCAGTGATTCACCAGTGATTTCTGACTTCTGATAGATTCTTCTGAGTCTCCTGACTAATGGTTGAAGCCTGGAAGTGGTCACCTCTGTCTTGTAGCTCCAGCAAGATGAAGATGGGCCATGCTTCCAAAACATGGGCAGATTTGGAATAGGTGGGCACAGATGATCCATGACTTTCTTTTCATCCCAAGTGCCCAGTCAGAAGCCGAATCCATCACAATCCCAGTACCTTCCTCTTCGGACAAGCCATTTCCAGCTGCAGCCCGTTGCGGAAAACCTGTGAAAGTGTGCTTACCATGCAGCTGGCCATGATGCCGGTGACCCCACTGGGGCGAAGGACAACGGGCCGGGGGGCTTTAAAATGGAGGACCACCTAGATTAAGGAGGAACTTCCACTTGTCTCCACCCCAATCCCCTAATCTGCCCCCATCCCTTACCCTATCCCTACCCTCACATCCCCACAGGACTCCCAACCATCGCCACCAGGATGCATTGCTTCGGCTGGTCCGAAGCGCAGGCAGCCCCCGTGGCGCAAAGGGCGGCGCCCGCGGTGCTGCATTTGCCGGGCGAGGTTGCGGAGTCAACGGTGAGCCCTGCGCCTGCGGAGCCTTGGATTGCAGTTCAACCAATGGATTTGAGATCGAGGTATTTTTGCCTATCAATGGACAACTTGAATTGGTACATATTGGTACACTTGACACTTGGTATTCTTTTGGGTTTAGGGCTTAATGGTACACTTGGTACTTGGTATTCTTTTGGGTTTAGGGCTTAATCAATCTTAATCATACCTATATAATCCTCCTGCCAATTACCTCTACAAAATCTTGGAGCACGTGCTCCAAATAAACTGTTTTTTTTTTTTTATTACGCCCTTTTCTTGTCTTGGAAACTGGCTTTCAGATTCTATAGAGTTTTGATTTCCTGTTTCTGATTCTATAGAGGGCCTCTTTTAGGATTATGGACCAAATATCATCGAGATGGGGTAATGACTTAATCTGCAGGGGGATCCTATATATATATATATATACAGTACACATGGCATTCCATGGCTATATTAATTAATGGAAGTATTATATCATATGGAATTGCGGCTCTACCATCACTCTAAAATTTCCAGTCATGTGTCATATGTTGCGCAAGGTATAACACCAGACTTTTCAGTCTTTTCGGGGCCATGTGCCCTCCTGAAGTTCAAGGATGGCAACATTTGTTCAGACTTCAATAAGAAGACGGGTTTCATACTGCATCAGAACATAACAAACCTTTTAAGCTGTTTGGTGGTTTAAAACATTTTTCACTTTTCTAGACAAGGAAGATAAACATAGGGCATCATTCTACCTAGCCTCATGACTATCATTTTCCCTATGTTCATTTTCCTTATATAGAATGGCCAAGGGGGAATCCTCATCCTTCCAATTTTATACAAGACAGAGCCATGATCCATGCTGAGGTGCTTCCTCATCGAAGCGCTCGCGCAAGTTTCGGCCCTGTCACTGGGCCGTAAACTGGGATTGGAAAACTTGGATGATTTATGAATTGGTCATTTTGCAAGAGAGCTGAGTCCTTGGGAGTTCCAGGGCTTCAGAAATAATACAATTTGGGCATGATGATTATAAAATAATGTGATCCTGACCAGATATGACGGATGATACATCATCGAGAAAGAGGCTTTGTTGGAGATGCTTCCATGGTGATCGGGCGATTTTAAAATCTCACACTTCAATACCTGTGTGATGTCACACTGACTGCTGGACGAGTCATAGTCATAGTCCCTTATAGCTTTAGGAGTATTGCCGTGGTGCCCCGGTCACAATGGAGAAAGATTCTTGTGCGGAATGGCAGGACCATCATGACCTATATTGAAGGAGTCTTGCCCGCCCGACATATGGGTCCCAAGATGCACAACCAACCCCCAATTATTGGGGACACTTGGAAACGTTGAGACATCCCTGCAATCCTTTCATGAGGCACCGTCGCAACCTGCAACATCCAGTCATCCTGCAGCCGCTTCGAGCGTTGCCAAATACGCTGCTTGCCACGGACTGAGTTTGGAACTGGTTCCTGAATCATCCTGAATCATCCTGAATCTAGGCTAGCTAGGCAGTAGCAGCGTTCGTTTACGGGTCATGTTCATGTAAGCATATTGTGACAGTTTGGTGAGTCTTTGTTGTTTTTGTCTTTGTGAACATGAAGTTCTTGTCAGATGTGTTTGGTTTTGAGTTTTGAATGAAAGACACCATGAAGATAGAGTTGATGAATGAAAAAACATGAAAAACATGGAGAACATGAAAAACATGGAGAAACATGGAACAGACAATGAACAACTTTTCAAAATGACAAAAAGTAACGCAGAAAGGATGTCCAACGGGATGGTCAGTTGTTGTGATAGACGATAGATGAATTCCAAGTCCAGATGAATAGAAACCAGTACGTTGTTTGAAGAGAAATGTATTGTAGGCTATTTAGATCTATTTAGGAGAGCCTTTGATGACTCTGATTTTGATTTTCTGCCAGTTATTCTGATTGCCCACGGGTCTGAACTGTGGCTGGTAGAATTGAGCTCTGGAACTGACAGGATCCCCTCCATTGCCCGCCTAAGGAATCCCGCGATGCCCATGGTCGAGTTTGGGGTGTGCCCAACGCTGGAGGTCGCGGCCAGTGCTTGGATTGTCCCAAGCAGGCTGGAAGATGCTGGAAGCGGCAGGAAGTTTCTTGAAACGGCAGTAAGGGAAGCCAAAAGCTGCAGCTTTGAAGATCTTGAGAGCTCAATTTTTTCGATGTATTTCCGGGTCTGCAATTTTTGGGAGGGTTTCGGGTGTTCCAGTTGGACATTGGTTCTTGAAGATCTCAGGGGGCGCCAGTGCCAACTTCCGGGAGGACAGTTTTTTTTTCCAACGGCCCAAGTTGGAAGTGTGAACCACCATAATGGGAATTTCATGGATATAATTTAATAATTAGATATTAATGGGGACATATAATTAAAATAGAATTACCATTATGTCCCCATGGTAACTACCATTAATAATTCATATTGCCATTGATACAATGGGGACATTATAAGTGGATGAATCAGATGCTGTTGGCAGTATCCCCGTAAACGCCTCCGCTGGGATGATCCCATGACGCGAAGCCGCGAGCCGCCGTAGGCCTTGCTGCCCAGCACGCGCTGTGCTGATTGTCAGCTGCGTCTGGCGGTTCAACCAGCGGTTCAACCGGGGGGGGCGGGGCGGGTTGTTGCGAAGGTTGGAGCTGGCAGAGCAGCGCGAAATGGTGATCGATATAGACACATGATACATTGATATACACACATATACACACACATTGCATATGTTAATCAGTTCGGCAAGAGCTATAGCGTCCCTGATGTATGGTGTCACCTTTTTTGCTCTGAAATGAAAGATGACAATATGTAACGTGTGAAGAGATATAAACAATCCCACTTTGTTGAAGAAATGGTCTGTTTCACCATGTTTCACCCGTGAATAGCCAGGGTCGTCTCCGTGCCGTTGCATCCGTTGCCGTTCCTCAGGTCTCAGCCGCGGAACTCCCATGGCAGACCTCGACAGCTTCAGAGAGAAGATGAACCGCGCGGCGGCGAAGTGCGTGAACCGCGAGGTGCCAAACATAGAGCGAGCGCATGGCGCCGAGGGTGAAGGTGATATCACCCCGTTCTCGGGGAACCTTGGGATGGGTACTTTAATGTAGCACTTCATAAATCTACAATATGTATGTATACGTACATAGATCTATATGTATATGAACATGTTTATGTTTTTGCTATTAATTGGAATATTTTACTAACCAGATCAGATCCAA